TTGATCATTCTGATACTTCTTAAATAAATTTTGTCTAGCAGTGAATTGAATTGAATTATTTTAGTTATTGTTCTCCTATATATTTGTATTTCTTGTTAAAAATGTAGTTTTGTTTTTGTTTCATTGAAAAGTGTTCGTTCTTAACTGATAACGTTTTTATACAGTACCGAAGGCTTTCAACTCCGGATTCAATAGACAGCAAATAGACGGCAATCCAATTGGCGTTGCCAAACGAATTTAATGTTGCTATCGCTTTTGTTACATCTGTGCTGCTCGCTATGCATCAGTAGGTGGGGTTAATAAGGGAAACATTTTTTCATTACACTTCTCATTAGCGTTATTCCGTCAAAAACCGCGTATTGTCAAACGGCCTGATATCAAAAAAAGGGGATGTATCTTGTTTCTACCTGCAGGAAATTACATTCCCTTGCACGTTGTGTAATCAGAATCTACGTTATGTGGCTCCTTGATACCGAAAAATTGCTTTGCGGTAAAACGTCCGTCTATTTGTCTGTCCGCGGCCTCAGTCCCTGTATTCGTCTGTGATCAACGCTAGCGCCTAAACCATACAGTGGATTGACTCCAACATTAGTATTCGCCTACCTATCTAGCCCAATTGAGGCTTGGCGAATTTGCAACGGATATTTTTTTCTTGAAGCTTCAGCATTTTCATTTTTTCCAACAATGGTTTCAAATGTTTTAAATATTTTTAGGCTCGAACAAAGAAAGCATAAAAATTATGCAAGTCTCACTTTCGTCAAGTGTCTGAGTTTTCGAAAACTGCAAAAGCTAATTTTTTGGCACCTTCGTATAACTACAATATTAAAGATAGTGATATTTTCATGATATCTGTTCTTCAAAATCAGTCTTTAACAAGGCCATGTACATTTTTCAAAAATGCGAAAAATGTTCTAGTCATTTTGCGTGAATATAAGCAATGTTAACAAGATTATCTCGAAAACAACTTCAAATATTTGAATTAATTTTACCTCGAATAGAGCGTGGTACACTTATAAAAATAGTGGTGATCCTATTTTGAATTAACTTACTGTTGTTTTTCTATTGCAAAACATATTTAATACTTAAATATATTATTTTTACATACCAAAACTACAATGTTGATGATAGAGGTAAAGTGAAGTAAAGACACAGACTTTTTTTTATTAAAAAGGACTCCAAATTGTTTTGTTTTTTTCATTTTCATTTAGAGTAGAGAAAAGTCGCTTATAAAAATAGCACAAGATCAATATTCGTTTATATCTTTCAATTTACGACAAAAGTTAGAAAAAATAAGAAGAGAGAGCATGTGCTGACATAGCACTACTAGGAATAGTTTATGTATTCATATAAGCATAAATATACCAAAAACTTTCCGGTCTATTTCGGAAATAACACTTCATAAAATCTTTTCGCCAACTAGCTGCTTCAACGGCGCCGCCGTGTCGTGATCACGCCGAATGGCGCGACTTTGGTATGCTCGGCACGGCGATGTTCACGGCACGACGCCTGGTCTGAAAGCGACCTAAATGCATCCTTTCAAAGTGTTCTGTGAGTTTTGAAAGCAAGATGTCCTCGTACCATGCTCTGTCGTATTCTCGAGCCAATCTACTTGGCCCGAATTATGCAGCCCCAAGTGGCCGCTGACGGATTTCACTCAGCGTATGCTGCTGGAAGTCGCAAAAATAATAATTTCACTTTTCCCTATAACGTCACTACAAAAAAATCCCTTCTCTTGCGAAGACTACATGTACTTCCACAAGTGCTGTCAAACGTCAATATTAATGCGCACATACACACAATGAACTGCTAGCTTCTGGCGGGGCGCGAAATCAATTGCTCTTTGCGTGCTCCCGAACTTAATACCGAAGATAAAATTATCGTTGAAGGTTGTCAATGTTTTCCCAGTACCACGATAGAAAAGATATTTTTGTCACTTAGGAGGTGATTAGCTAGTAAGTAAGAAAAACATAAATATCTTATTCAATTCAATTATTTGCCACTTGAGCATGGGGTCCAGCAAGGTTCGATCTTAAGTCCTATCCTCTTGCATAACGTAAACGATATGGCCTCGTACATTAAAAATGGAAGAATAGTTCTGTTCGCCGATGACACGAATGTTCTTTGCAAAAAAGCAATAGTACGAGTTCAGAAGCTGTTAATTGGATTCGTAATAACAAAATAATTGTTAATGAATGGAAAACGGTTTCAATGCATTTATGCATTTCAAATGTGCAAACGCATGCTTCATTGAAATTAAACAATAGTTGATGTTAAGGTAACAAAATGTGTGGATCTTTTAATAGAGTTAAACACTAAATTAAATTCATAATGTTACGCATTCAGAATTCTTTGAAATACAGTCAGCTTTCATGCAGCTCATTGGGTGTATTTTGCAAATGTACATTCCCGCCTGAGATAAAGCATAATATTCTGGAGAAGCTCATCCTATATTACCCAGATATGTAGATTTCAGAAAAAATAATTCGAATAATAAAAATATCCATCCACGTGATTTCCGCAAGCCTCTCTTCATTGAGCTTGGAATCTTACAATTGAGTTGCCTTTTTATTTAACAATCTTTAATTTTGGTCAAAACGGGCTACCATAACGGTTGGAACATATTTTCATGCGATACTGATATATACAGTACACGTCATAGAAATCCCATTTATCAGTTGTCTGTGTAACTCTACAATAAATACGCATGTACGCCGATTTACAATGTATTGTCGGATTACATTAAACAATACACGAATGTAAGTTAAAAGTATTTTTTTCCGCTGTATAGATGTTTCTATACAATTAAGAGACTATATTGATCATCAAAAAATAAAATAATGTTTATTTTAATGATGATATGTAATGCATATATTATGTTATTCATATTATAAATCACTTTTATTCATTAATTGAGCAGCTACTTTTTTATCTTTTTAAAAGACTGAATATGCCTGTAACAAGTAACCTCCTCCAACATTCGGGTCAATGACCCCCATCACAAGTAGGTTTTGTCCCTGACCCATTGAGCAAATGCTGATATGGCCCCTTGTTTTGTTTCTAGACATAAAAGTATCTTCTCTTTTCTTACGTTTTGTTGAGCTTTCTTTTGCGAATAGTAGTAGGTTTAGAGCTGGTGTTATTATTTAGCAAGAAATGCAAAAAAACAATTCGGAGTTCGTTTATCAATGCAAATAAGTTTTCTATAACTGTGAAGCAAAAATGTCTAACTTTTCAAATAACTTCGCCCTTTTTATTATTATTTAAATAATAATAATAATAATAATAATAATAATAATAATAATAATAATAATAATAATAATAATAATAGGTAAGCGGTATCCTGGAAGACCAAAGAAAAGCTGGATCGAAATCTGGGCATCGATATCTCTTGACCAATCATGAAAGTGATATGTAACTAATACGAGATTCCACCTAAATATAACAAGAAAAATAATATTTTTACATCAGGACTCTTCAGACCATCGGACTGAGTGTGTTCTCCCAGAGTTTTCTCTTAGGTTCCCCGACAGTGGACCATCTCCCTTGCTGAGCATAATCCATTTTACTCAGTGTCGGCGTCCGGAGATAGCCGCATTTCCACTCTTTT